ATCTTAAGTTATCAAGTGCATTGACACACTTTCCTGATGTGACAATGTGTTCTGGTAGTATATCATTTGACTGGATCTGTTCAACACCATTGTTTTGATGACAATGTGTTCTCATTGTTGTCAGCATCCTTGTGACTTTAACAATGCTTTTTTCTGAAAAAGAGGATAACCCCTGGCCTCTGTATCGAGCTATGCCTACAACCGAAGTTAAGGTTGGCAGTTTTCAACACTTTGGACTGAAATTGTAATAATCCCGACAATCTAGGAAGAGAACATCACAAACTTCTTGAGACAGAGCAACTAGATCGTTAAGCGATATTTGGACATGGAGAGAAGTGACGTGCTAAAGCCTGCTAGAACTTACGAATAATGGTTGCTTCCTTCCCAATGTCGCATATTCCCATTATTCTATATACATCTTTCTTAGTTTCCTCCTCATCTTTCATGTGGATTCCAACAGTTGTGAGTAGAAGAAAACAATGCTTCTTGCCTTTTGCGACTGAATGTGGAGTACTGCGGCTATATATTTATTTACTCCACGAAAGCATCATTTACTCCACAAAGGGGATGGTTGATGGGACATTCATCTATATATTTATTTACTCCATGTCATAACCTTTGGACATATAATCTTGCATGTGACATTATATTTTACAAAAAAATATGGTATGACCGTGATTGGTCTTCATAGCTGTAGAAAGGACATTTGTTGGGGCTGGAGCAAGGGCTTCTTCTGATCTCCCATGATCATACCACAGTCAATGTTGCTGACTTCGATACATTTTTGTATTGTGACTTATAAGAAATATGAATTCGTTTAGTGCATGAGGATGCTACATGTTAGTGCGTGAGGAGTACGTTTTAAAGCTGATGTACAGCACTGTAAGCTGAGAAATGATGTAAGAAGTTGAGGAGCTGAACAAAGGTGAGTAACCTTGCCCGTTAAGCAAACAACATGATGACCTCTCCGAGTCAGCTTTTAAGCCTTAGGATACCCCATAACCCCATCCCATAGCGATAAGGCTTCAAAAATGCTAATAGTGGTAGGGTGTTCATGCGGTGTTCATACAGAGTTATGTGCGTGTAATCTATGTGCGTGTAAGTGAGCACCTAGGATTGTACTATGTGAAAAAAACATTTTACAAGTACATGATGTTGGAGCAAATCTCAATCTTGAGTTATCAAGTGCCTTGGCACACTTTTCCGATGTATCCAAAAGTTGTTGTTATAATTACCCTGTTATAAGTAACATTTGACAAACCTCGAAGTACACCATCTGGCATGAAGGCGCTCGATACTCTCATGGTCTAAGAAAGTGAGTATATGTTAACACTTCTTTGATAACACTAATAACAATGTGACAATGTGTTCTCGTACTATATCATTTGATTGGGTCCATTCAACACCATTGTTCTGATAACAATGTGCACTCATTGTTGTCGGCATCCTTGTGACTTTAACAATGCCCTATGATAAGAAAATAAAGATCATCATGCAACACATGAGCTAGTCTTAGAGACGAGACTAGGAACTTATTTTGTGTTTATGTTTTCACACATGCAACTGAATCTCATATTCAAGAATCATTGCAATTATAGCATAGAAAATAAAGATTAATTATCAGTATGAAAATAAATAATGTATTGCTTCTAGGGCATATTTCCAATAAAAATAATGTTGAAGTTGCCTTTTCAATTTGTCAACGATCTCCTCTTTTTGATTAACTTTACACCCATAACAGAGGCAACCCTGCACCAAGAAAAAGAGTAATGGGTTGTACATTAGCGCTCTTTCTCATTGTTTTCATCATCTATATTTGCTTTCATTATTTATTTCTTGTTTTAGTGATTTTAGCACATGTTTCAATGATTTCCTAGTTCTCAATAGTTTCATCAGTAACAAAACTGTAATGAATCATAAAATTTAGGTAATGATGTCTCTTAAATAACTGCAATATAGCATTTATTCAATATGTCCAAAGAGTATATTGGATGTATAAGTTGAACAATACAGGGTCTCAACATGTTGTGGAAGGATCTGTCGCAGTTAACATCAACTGAAGCATCATCCAATTGAGCAACTTATTGGCTCCAGTTTGAAGGAGTTCATTCCCAAAAAAACAAAAGAAGAGTTTGAAGGAGCAATTTATCTGCTCGAGTATGAAGGAAGAAACTTGTACAACCGAAGGGTTGGCACTTCTCAACGGTTGGGGCTGAAATTATAATAACTCCGACAACCTAGGAAGAGAATATCATGGACTTCTTGTGACAGAGCAACTAGATCGTTAAGCGATATTTGGACAGTTTAGAGAGAAGTGACGTGCTAAAGCCCGCTAGATCTTACAAATAATGGTTGCTTCCTTCCCAATGTCTCATATTCCCATTATTCTATATACATCTTTCTTAGTTTCCTCCTCATCTTTCATGTGGATTCCAACAGTTGTGAGTAGAAGAAAACAATGCTTCTTGACTTTTTGCGACTGAATGTGGAGTACTGCGGCCACATATATGTGAATGTGACGAAAGCATCATTTACTCCACGAAGGGGATGGTTGATGGGATATTCATCTATATATTTTATTTACTCCATGGCATAGCCTTTGGACATATAATCTTGCATGTGGGATTATATTTTACAAACATAAAAAATGGTATGACCGTGATTGGTCTTCATAGCTGTCAAAAGGGCATTTTTGGTGTTGGAGCAAGGGGTTCTTCTCCCACGATCGTACCACCATCGTTGCTGCTGACCGGGATACGTTTTTTCTATTGTGACTTAGAAGAAATATGAATTCGTTCAGTGCATGAAGATGCCAACATGTTAGTGCATGAGGAGTACTTTTTAAAGCTGACGTACAGCACTGTAAGTTAAGAAATGAGGCAGAACTTGAGGAGGTGAACAAAGGCGAGTAACCTTGCCCGTTAAGCAAACAACATGATGTCCTCTCTGGGTCAGCTTTAAGCTTAGGATACCCCAAACCCCCATCCCACGGCGAGAGAGCTTCAAGAACGCCAATCATGCAGGCAGCGTCCCAACCCTGCCAATCAGACAAATACGTACCACGCCGTATTCCAAGCTGAGCAAGAAAGACAAACACTGCGGGCAAGCCAACAAAGAAACGGGAAGCACATCTGTCACTCATCAATAATCCACATCTCAAGATGATACCCCACCAGCTTCAAAAAACCAAGGGAAAAAATAATGTCCATATCTGAATGAGATACCATTAGCTAGCTTAAATTCTGTCAAAAGCAGTGCTTTGGAAGGGTCGAGACTGGCAACGTTTACAAGCAAAGCAACTCCAACTGTTAACAACTACTCCCTCTGTCCGGAAATACTTGTCATCAAAATGAATAAAAGAGGATGTATCTGGATGTATTTTAGTTCTAGATACACCCCTTTTTATTCATTTTGATGACAAGTATTTTCGGACGGAGGGAGTACTCCTTTTTCCCTTTAGTTTTTCCTCTCATCATCATACATGCTCCTTTATCCTTCAAATCCATGGCCATACATCCAAAGATGTTCTTCTTCCCGGCATGCTCCACAATCATTATATAGATGATCAGATCAGCATCGCAAGAGAACAGTTCCCATCTCTTTTTCTGCACATACATACATACACCATCTAGTAACATACTCTTTGCTTTCCTCTCCATTCTTTCCATGTTGGCGTCCACTTAAATCTTCCACAAAGCCATCCCTCGACCCTTTCCTTCTTTTTTTCCTGGCCTTTATTATTTTCCCATCCTCTCCTCTCCAATGGCACTATCCTCTACAAATAAATTTCGAAAGCAGGTGACGCTTTCGCCCATGCCATTCCTTGCACTCCACCCATGCCCCCCTCGCCCCGTCCAAGCCCAACAAGTGCTCGCCACTGCTCCACCAACACCGCCGCCGTACCTCTGTGCAGCAATGGCGACGGCCCCGCCGGCGATCCCGTTGCCGGACTACCAGGTGTCCGGGGCGGCCGCGGCCCACCAGCGGGGCTCCGTCGGCCCGTTCGTCGGGGTGCTCGCGGCGGTGCTGCTGCTCACCGCCATGTCATGCTTCTTCGGCCGGGTGTGCGCGGCGCACGCGCAGGGGCCTGACGAGTGGTACGACTGCGCGAGGCTCGCCGGCCGCCGGAGATGCTGGTGGTGGCGGGCGCCTCGGCGGCCGGTCAGGCCTGCCGAGGAGGAGGCCAAGCCGCCGCGGGCGATGCCGTTGCCTGAGCCGTGAACGATCGATCGGCCTCAGGCTTTCTGCCCTTCTCTTTGCTGCAGTTTGCAGGTTAGTACGATAGGAGAGACCAATAAAGAAAAAAGATACTATACACGATTGTAACATCATAATAATTCATTTCTCCTACTAATTAGAAGAATCTCGTTTTCTTTTTATTAGTGAGAGATTGTGTAGATGCATTCCGTTCATCCGAATTAACATGGAAATTTCCTGCCATCAAAGCAATTGATGTTCTCTTTTCTTATCGCAGCATAAGACTATATAGTGTCATGGTAGATCAGTTGAATATATCATGAGGTTGTCTTCAAACACTTCCATATCAGATGGTTGCACTTAGGCACTGAAAGAATCTGTTTCTGCGAAATGCAGTGCAATCATCTCATTTATATAAAAAAACATAGCAATATCAGTTTACAGTAAAACAGAGGGACAACAGTTACGTGGCAAAACGCAAAAGTCATGAAACAAAGTGAAATTCTGCCATCAGAGCACAAGCATAAACGGGTAAGAGCAAAAGAGAAGGGGGGAAACACAAGCGCACACACAGAGCCTAAAATTGCTAAATGAACTTTACAGCAGGTCTTCTCTTGTTCTTCTTGTGGCCTATCTACGAAATTCTGTGATCTAGCTCTATCCTCTGAACTGGAAGAACTGCATGGAACCATAGAAGCAACAATCCAAGAATATTCACAAGTTCTAGCCAGTCCATCTTCTGCCATCTTTCAGGAGATGGCATTCTATAATCTGTACAAAACGCAAAATCTACTGAGAGAATGTCATCCTTCAACCTCTATGTCGGTTCCCTTTTTAACTTGCATGGCCTTGCCGTCGCGACGAGCAGAGATCCCAACCATCCTTGGGTGCGACGATGTTCGGTGCCGTGACGATAGCTGCCTTGCCACCTCTGGGTCTTCGGCCTTCCCCAAGTACCTTTTCCACTGAATCTTGTTATGGAACATTGGAAAGAAACGGATCTGAACTGCGGCATAGCAGAAGTATGGGACGAGTGTGGCCGTCACCACGAAAAGTGTCACCAACCAATATGATAGCGCTGGGGCCAACTGTTCAATGAAGACCATGTATGCTGTTTTGGAGTACTTCGGGTCTATAGAACCATAAACCATGAGGAAGATGTACCACACAGCAATGCTACCCCATATGAATATGTGTTGGATTATGGTGAAGTAGTTCACCGAGAGGGCCATTTGGCAGTTGACGACCCATACGACACAAGTGTACATGGTAGCACCTAGGGCATCCAAGCCCGCAACTTGGCCATCCTGGCGAAATGCTTGGTCCTTCAGGGCGGTAGTGCAGAAGAAAAATATTAAGATGGCATTCACGACACCATTAAACATCCAGCCAAGTATCCGACGCCAGCTGAATAATACATTCTGCACACCTTCTTGGTATAGCTCCGGATACTGTCAAGTAACATGCAAACAGGCACTTTCTTAAAAACAGCTAGGTCAAATGGAGTTGAAATTAATGTGCATAGTTTCTGCATTTTGTGCAGTATGAAAGATGGAATGATATCTTTATTTTTCCAAGAAAACAGTGAAAAAGGAACTTAAAACGGCACGAATAGGATTGCTGAGCCTTGAATTAAGGCTTCCTTTGGTTCATAGGGTAGGAAAATCATAGGAATAGGGAAGTCATAGGAAATGAGATGACATGCATCTCAAATCCTATGAGTAGGAATGGGAAAGGAGATGTCATTTGTTTCACATCAAAGGATTTTTTCCATTGAGTCTAGGCTAATGTTTATTTTCCTATGAAATGTGAAGGATAGGAAGAATTCCTCCATAGGAATAGGATTTCATTCTTACGAACCAAAGGGCTCTATAGGAATTTTTCCTATAAAAATCCTACCCTATGAAATTCCTACAAAATTCCTTCAAACCAAAGGAGGCCTAAGTAGGAAATTGTTGAATCTATGAAAAGCAAATACCGCAAGAAATCAACAAACTTTTACCTAATCAAATGGACCAAGTATACAAAACATGTAAAATTTTGAACTTTTCTTAAACAAAACATAACCATGTAGCTTCTACTCCCTCCGTTCCTAAATATATGAAGTAGAGTGACATAGACAGTGTACTTTTTCAGAAAGATTAAGTGGAACATGTTTCAAGAGAATTTGGAGTTTGAGATGGACTTTCCCTAATTCGATCTACTATCATGAAAGATTGCGTCTTTTTCAAACGGGTTTGCATAGATATACCTGTAAACACAGACGGGAAGAAACATCCTGATCAAATACGCCCAACGCAATGACAGGTAGGGAGGTGAAAAATACATTATACAGTGACAAGAACCAATCATTATAAGCTGGCTTCCCTGAAAAGGATGCAAACGCTTCATACAGAAAGATGGTGACTCCAAAAGTCACATTCTTGTAGAAGAAATAGCATATCTGCATCAGAAAGAGAATATCAACATAATAGTTGAATTTTGAAAGTTGATTATTTGTCCAAAGGAACAAAGAGTATACCATCACTGAAATACGTCGGTAACACCAATGTCCATGCACCAAAAGCAACCGCTCCAGGAAGCGGAACTGGGCGATGGCAATATCACTTGCCATGACAGCCTAAGACATTGTGAAGAGAAACAACTAACCGTTAAAAAAGATTCTAGTGATCACAAGCACATTCACAAAATTTACAAAGCATCAAAATAGGGAACCTGCATCCCTTCAACACCACTAATTCCAACCCCTATGTCAGCTTCCTGAAGCATGCCAACATCATTTGCCCCATCACCAATTGCTAAGGTAACTTTATCTGAATGTTTAACAAGCCTTGTAACCTGCAATAGTTGCGACAGATTAATAACTCAGCATGTATGCTTTCGGAAATAACACTCGGAAAATTACATAGAAAAGATAAATATGACTTCCAAAACAAGAAAAAAGCTCACCAATGCCTTCTGCTTCGGTGAAGATCGACAACATATGACTGATGCGCACTTGACAGCAAGATCCAAGAACTTAAACTTGACATCATCTTCCAAAGCATAAGTTAATGATTTACCATCAATTATCAGCGCAAAAGATTCCGTGCTGGACTGACCCAAGGTTGGGACTTGTTTTATTCCATCCTCTATCTGACCCATAACACTTTGCTTTGATGCCTGAAGAGCCAACAAATAGAAAGTAACTATTGCAGTTTTGATTGTATAGAGTAGAATTCTAAATGTTAGATGCCTGTTTTGTCAACTCCTTTTTGGTAAACATTTACGAGTGATTGTTGCGAATATACTCATCTAAAAATAACAATTACATAGGCAGTGATTCAGTAGAGGCATCAGTCATTTATTCACCTTGGCAATGGAATCTTTGTCTCCGTTTTTCTCCAATGCAATGATGTCAGGTGCTTCCAGGGCGATGATTATCTGTGTCATTCCTTGTCTAAGTAGGCTACATGCAAAGCTGAAGAGGCACATGAATGATGAATCAGAAAAAGAAATAGTCAGCTTGAGCTTCAAGAATCCAGTCGTACTAAAAAGACCATTTCCATGCAAAAATACACTAAGTACCCAATATTGATAGCTGTCTCCATTTTGTCACCCGTCAACACCCATATCTTAATTCCTGCTTGTGCAAGCTTGTCAATGCATTCTGGTACCTGATTACAAATGCACATCCACGCAAATGAAAAATGACAATTCAATATTTAAAATGAATTAGACTGGAAAGCATAGCCTTCTCATAAAAAACATACCCCTTTCTGGAGCTTGTCTTCAACAGCAGTAGCACCAAGAAGAATCAAGTCCCGCTCAATGCTATCAGCAGCCTCCCCAATTTGTTCATCTCTGTCAGCACTTCCAGATATTTTGGCAGTCCTGAATTTTTCAGCGAAGTTCTCGTACTCTTTCTCATCCAAGACGCGGTATGCAAGTACCAACGTTCGTAGACCAGAATCAGAATACTCATTTATGTGCCTTTTAGTCTCTTCCTCAAATTTTCTTCCATCTGGTGCAAGCCTTGTGAACATCACACTATTCACATGGAGAAGACAGATAAGAAGCCATAGGCATATATACAAGTTTGCCCGTTAATTGTGAAACAATACAGAAATTTAGAACATGTGGAGTACTTACCTATCAGCGCCCTTGCTAAACAGTAATATCCTCCCCTCTGGCTCTGGTTCCTTCACTATTACAGACATCCGTCTTCGTGAGCTACTGAATTCCAAGACATTTAGGAGCTCATATTTTCTGTAAGAGGATGCTAAAGGTCAAATTTACGTAATAAGCAATATCCTTTAATGAAAAAAAGAAATTTGCATACCTATACTGATAATCTGCAACATTCTGGCTAGGATCGCGTTCACGAATAAATATACTTGTCTGTGTCCTCTTGTAAAACTCAAACCCTAATTCTCTTGCTGCGATAACAAATGCAGCTTCATCAGGGGACTCAGCTTCGTATGAAACTTTATCAGTTTCATCTACTTCAGGTATGCATGTATGGCAGATGGCTAGCAGACGGAAAAAATCCCTGATGACATCTTTATTAGGTTCATGTATCCAATTTCCATCCATTATACGTGGATCCTTCAAATTAAAACCTTTGACATGAGGACTCTCCTCGATTTGTTTCTCCTTGTGCCCTCCAGCTTCTATCTCGTCACCTAGCGGCACCCCTTTCCTCAGGGCCATAGCTTTCTCAACTTCTGTGACAGACTGACCATATGCAGTGCCAGCAATTGAACACTTGATAAACTCCATCATGTTGCAGGTCAAGGTTCCAGTCTTATCAGAGAGAATTGTGTCAACTTGACCTAGTTCTTCGTTTAGATTTGAGGTTCGAGCATGAGTTGGCTTATCTGATTCTTCATCATACATGTCAATGTCCTGGTTGATGAATACAGCCTGTAAGATCTTGACCATCTCAATGGATATGTACAAAGAAATTGGGATAAAGTAGTTGTACAACATTAAGGCTGTCAACAGATGACAAAAGGATGCCAGAGGTGCTCGTTTCGGGTCATAGAAGACGGTCGAATCATCTGGGCGAAGATACCACCGTTTTGTCTCACCATTCCTTAAATCAGCTTTTGTCCATATACCAAAAAAGACTGAACCAAGTAAAGCAATTCCAAGTAAAGAACACAGCAGCAGGTAAATGATGTTATCCATTTTCTTCTCAATCTTGCTTCTTTTAGATGGCGGCTCAGTTGCATTTTGCATCACTTTTGTATCATGACCTGTGAAGATGACAGCCCCATATATGTAATCAGTGTTCCGCAGCTTTGAGTCCCGAAGAAGGAGTTGTTGGGGTGACAGAGGATGCTGCATGCCTTTATAATCCATAGTACCAACAAAAGAATAAAGATTCGCATTCGGATCTTCGCATTTGACTATTTGTCTAAGGTTTGTGAAATCACCATCCTCTTGTAAATCCGATGTCACCTCAAGAGCTTGTTTAATTTTCAAATTTGTTTCACCATCAAGGTTCATAGTCTCTACATAGCAGATCCCATCCGGATAGTTAGATGAAAGTAGAATCAAGTCAGCAGGAAAGAAATTATCCTTCTCCACCTTTATCACATCTCCAATTTTGATATACTTCCATTTTGTCTCTTCAAAACTGCCATTCCCTCTATGTACTTTTACTATTCGATTGTTGAGCTCAATGTCCTGAATGAAGAATTGCATATATTAACTTTGCATACCAACAGCATAAGAATATGCATATACATACAAACCAACTAAATAGAGATAATGCAGCAAAATTTAAAGATTAATATTTGTGCAACTAGTCCATCACAAAGATGTGTATCATGTCAATGAATGGAAATTCATAACAAATTTAGCTATGGTCTACCTTAATATCCAGAAAAACTGAACATTTATCTATTCACAGAAAAAAAAGTTGATACAACAAAACCATGTGCTAGAACCGAGATTATAAATTCTTCCTAAAATAGTTTATCAGCTGTCTAGGATAGAACAGATCCAGTAAAACTCGCAATGACATTGTATGATTAGATCTCATGCAAAATGAAGTAACTGAATATTTAATGTGCTGAGACGAAAGTAATCTGTGACATAGTTCATGGCATTGTTTCGATAGGAAGCTCATAGCTTGGTTGTAACTAAGTGACACACATTATACCCTTAAATACAAAGCATCACATATTATGTCAAGATCAATCATATCCATACTTCTTTTGCGATAGTGATCTGACCTTCAGTTATTTGCAGTTTCTTACATAAAAATCAACAGTTTAATAGTAAAACCCATATTTTTTTACTTCCTGTCAATTTACGACTTTTTATTGGTTGATCCAGAAAGAAAGTTCCACTAGATTTAGGTTCCTGCCTACTTTGTCTTATCACATACAAAAAAAAACCTTCAAGATGCTAGCCCAGATATGCAACTGAATAAAAAAACACCTCGTCATCAAGAAAAAGGAAACCCCGTGCGTCCTTGTTAAGAAGTTCATGAAACAACCATTGGACAGGTATGCGCAGGCATGTTAAGTTCTTGTGAATCACAACATACTATCCATATGAGTCGAAAGAAAGTTTGCTAAATATGATTCACTTGTGGCAGGATTTGAAGAGAAGATAACAGAAACGATACCTGTTGTTTCCTCCTCCAATCCTCAACCCCTTCTTTCAGCATGGTGGCCGTAATCACGACCGACAATGGCAGTAGCGCGCTTACCGCTGAGTAGGGCGCGAGCGGGGTCAGCGTGAGGATCCCCGAGACGAGGAAGTAGAAGTTGGCCACCCTCCGGAACTGCTCAAAGAGGGACTTGGGCACGAAGGTGACCAACGAGTACTTGGTAGTGGACACCTCATTTCTTGGGTATCTGAAGCCCTCCTCTTCATGCCTGTCTGGATCATTGACGTAGACGACTCGGGAGAACCCCGTCGTGCCGATCTTGGAGTGATCTTCGGTGGAGCCCTTGGCGCAGAGCGCGAAGCTGTACAATGTACTCAGCTTCAGCTTCTCCAGCCTCCTCCTTACCCGTGCCATTTCGACACAAGAACCAGATCACCACACCAGACTAGTACTGCCCAGGGCTCAGCTCTCCTGGTTACTGCCGAGATTACTGAACTTTCGGCCTCAAACTTATTGAGCTGAATCTGAAAATTCAGCCCTCAAGAAGCAGTGGATGAATCAGGAACAAATCAGTGGACTCCCCCTCTGGGCAAGAAGAAGAAGTCAGATTTCAGGTGAGAACCCAAGAAACGCCTCGCAATAAATTCGGGGCGCGACTGCTCCCACCCACCAAGAAAGGCTCCACCGCCCCCACCTACCTAAAAAAAAGCAGGCGAGGCAGCCACACGAGGAACTGGACAGCACTGGACTAAATCACCTGACCCGGAACGCCTCAACAGAGCTCCGAGATCCCGCCCTGCCGCGGCGCGGCGGCGGCGGCGTCCGGCCGGAACCCCTGAACGTCCCGGAATCCCAGCTCCAGGCGGCAGCGCGGGGGACCCTGATCCATGCGGCGAGGCAGCGCGCGCGGCTTTTTTCTTCCCGTCCGTCCGTCCTCCGAGAAACGTCCCCGGGAAAGGAACT